AATTTCAAGCTGCCTATTTATTGATTTCTCATTCACAGTGCTCTCTAGTTTTATATTTCCAACTACTACAGATGCCATGGCTCATATCATGATATTTGATTAAGCAAAGAAAGAGAACAGAAGTTCGTCTCCTCTCTAGTCTTCTCTGACCCCAAAGGAAGCTCTCTTCACCATGCCATGCTCTCGACACATTTGCACCATAATTTAGTAGCAGGCGACCAAATATCCCACTACGCAATTTTCTTGGTGTAAGCTGGAGTGAAACAAGTTGGAGTTGAGTATATTAAACCAAAACATGTATTTGCATTGCATTGAAGGCAGCATGAAGGGATTCTGGTTTATTGCAGTGGCAATCAAGTAGCAGAGTCAGTTCTGACTGCATCATTAAAGCAGATACACCAAAGAATAGAAATGCTCTCTCTCTCTTCTATGCTTCAATTCATATACTGTTGCATCAGAACATTTTTGGTATTGCATGGAGTAATTTTAGTATTTTATGTTTGTCTATATATTTGATTGATATAATTAATTCATTCTATTTGAGTTGATAAACTGATTTGCGAAGTTTTCTTTTAATATTTTTCACGTGTCTTCATACCTTTACAGGAGAAAAGGCAACAAATTCTTAATGAGATGAGAACATTATGTGAAGCAAGTTGCTATCCTGGTTTAGTTGAATTCCAGGGTGCATTTTACATGCCTGATTCTGGACAAATAAGCATTGCCCTTGAATACATGGATGGTGGCTCTTTAGCAGACGTTATAAAAGTCAAGAAATCAATACCAGAGCCAGTTCTTGCACATATGCTACAGAAAGTGTTACTTGTATGGATCTTCCACATCCTCTTCCTTTCATGTCTGTGTTGATCAAAATCAGGCTGTGACCTGATGTGTTTTTGAAGTAATAAATTATTCTTTGTACAATTCTGAAGGGCCTGAAGTACTTGCATGAAGTAAGACATCTAGTGCATAGAGATCTAAAGCCAGCAAATTTACTGGTAAACCTTAAGGGCGAAGCAAAAATTACAGATTTTGGTGTAAGTGCTGGTTTGGACAATACAATGGCTATGGTATGCTACTTCTTTGTGACAATTATCACGCTGTTCTTTTGATATTCCTTAAATATGAGCTAATTATTTAATAATAGTACATCAATTTCATCTAATCATTTAAAGTGAATGAACAATATGTTTTCTGCTAAATAAATATGTTCCAGTGTGCTACCTTTGTAGGCACTGTGACATATATGTCACCTGAGAGAATCCGCAATGAGAACTACTCCTATGCTGCTGATATTTGGAGTCTTGGACTAACGATATTGGAGTGTGCTACTGGTAAATTTCCATATAATGTCAACGAAGGCCCAGCCAATCTCATGCTACAGGTGATTGACTACTCAGATTTTTTTTTTATTCTTGTCCATCATTCATTACGTATGTTGGGATGGAATATCATCCCTTTTACAGACTGATGCAAAGTGTGGGGACTATTTGAGCTGTTCACATGGTAGCCTTGGTGGGTTGTATTTGAATTCGTTGATATGGCAAAGAATGTTCCATTTCTGCATGTCTGTTCGATGATTATATTAGTTTCCACAATATTTTCTTTTTTCCTTTGCTGGTTTATGTTTTGTAAGTTGTTTTTTTCATTTTCTTTGAATATATAAATTATCTGTCACTTCACTTGTTGCCCTATCTTAATCTTAAAATCACATACTTCAGGTACTGTTTTTTTCCCACTCGATTGTTGTCCTCTCTTACAATCCTAAAATCTCTTATGTCAGATACTCGATGATCCATCACCAACACCACCAGAAGATGCCTATACACCAGAATTTTGTTCCTTCATAAATGATTGCTTGAGGAAAGATGCTGATGCAAGGCCTACATGCGAGCAGGTAAAGAAAACATGTATATTCTAACTTTCATGCAATCTGAGTCCAGTAGGTTAGCAATTTGCATCAATGTCTTGTGGTCTGTTTGAATGTTATTACATATTACTGGTAATAACTTTTTTTGATAAAGCATTAGTGGCAATAACTGTCAGAGTATTGTATAGTTGTGTGGTTAAGTATATTTAGGTATTTATTAACTGATTTACCTTCTCTTGTAAGTATGTCACACTGGCCTTTGGTTGATGAAGACATCACCGCCCCTATCATTGGTCCATTGGAATAAACGAGGAGGCCCATTCCATATAGAGACCTTGGTTTCTCTTCTCTCCCTCTCGTACCATCATGTACAGACTTCCATACCCTAGCCCACAGCAGCCACCATTGCTGCAGCCAGGACACCATCACCACCAATGTTCGCCGTCCACCGTATGTGCAGCTGGGGCTGGAAACCTTAGGCGCAGGGAGAAGGAAAGTACGTGATGGATCAAGTAGAAGATGGGTTTCTTCTAACTCCCTGGTTAACTGATTTAACGTGTGGTTACCTCATTATATTGAGGGGCTGCCTTACATGTGCTAGACTCTAGTCCTAATACAACATGATCTGGACTTGGCAACATGTCCATTATAATAGGACCACTACCTAAACTAAGACCAGTGATCAGAATTATCACTAGCCCACTACACTCACCTTCTTCGTGTTATGTGATGCCTTCGAGTGACCATCAGTCCTGCCTTTTCTAATCTTGGTTTAGCTCTCTGCACATTAGGCGTACACAGATACTACTTGGGCTAGTGATAATTCTGATCACTGGTCTCTCTGTGCCTACTGCCTCAACGATTTCCTGGAAGATCAAGCACATTGTAGTTTTCCTTCCGAATGCTTAGGCCGAGTTCGTTAGGTTGCTAGTCAAGCAGATCCAGTGAAGCATCTTAATTCTTAAGCAATGCATCGGCTACTCTACGTCAGTGAAGCATGATCTCTCCAAGCACATTGGAGTTGATGCTTCCTGCATGAAATTGTAGATGCAGGAGCGGGTTGTTGCTCTCCAGTATGTGCCATCAGAACTCTAGTTAGCTGATTTCTTCACCAAGGCGCATTCTATAGCTTTGTTGTTGATCTGCCTTTAATTTTGTGTATGGTATTATTGGAGGTCCATTTCACAAACTTATATGCAAAATGTAGGTACTGATTAGTTATGGCTTGGTCTAATAACAGAATGTTAATTATCTTGACAATGCATTTTACATCTTTTATCCTTTTCCATTGTTTGGTTTTCTTATAGTGGACTAACATGTTTAACATTCTACAGCTTTTGTCACACGCATTTATCAAGAGGTATGAGCAAACTGGTGTGGACTTGGCAGCATATGTCAGGGGTGTTGTTAATCCAACAGAGAGATTAAAGCAAATAGCAGAGGTGAATTCTTTAGAGCATATTTCAGCTTATTGTTTTCTTCTACTTCAGTTAAATATCAGGACACACTTGATATGAAACATGCCCCCTATGTCAAGAATTGAAGCTAGAACTTTGAAGGGGGTCAGGGAGGGGGAGGTGGGGTAGAGGCTATATGTTGGAGATAGACAAACACTGTTGCTTGATGATGTTACCGTGGCTCACTTTCTTTTGCCTCTGCCACCTCACCGCTGGTGGTCACCATTCCTATTTGTTCCACTTCCATCTACCTCCATTTGGGAACGAGAGGAAGAAGGGGAGAGCGAGAGGGTCAGGTTTATAATACAGCCAGTATATAATCAGTCACCTCCACCAAGGAACACTTCCGCACCCCCATCGATCCTACTTGTTGAGCCACCTTAACCATGTCCCATGGCCCTGTTCCACAACTCGGCTGATCCATTTTGCTTGTAACTATAGGTTGTACATTAGAAAAATGGAAGAACAATGTGGCGCAAGTGTGAACCATTTGAGCGGATGCACTACAGTATTCTTATACTTCCATTGGTTGAGTAAAATATTGCTCTAGCGCCTTCATTTTGTTGAACTGCAGTGCTAGTCCTTCGTGTGTAGAACAACTGGTCTGATAGTTTGTTTGTGCCCTAATTTGTTTGTTTGTGTCCTGATAATTTGTTTGTGCCCTAATTTGTTTGTTATTGCCCAGAGAAACCCTTTTGTTTTCCTTTTAATGAACAAAGTCCATTGAAAAAGAAATTATTTATAAGTCGTGAGGGTTCGAGTGCCCCTATCCCCATACCTGCTTTAACTATGTTATTTATCCATTCTTTTCCTTTTCAACTCGCCTGCTGATTCTTTGACGTTAGCTCGTTTGGTTCCACATTTCGGATCTCAATTCAAACGTGTAGATTAAAAGGACTTTTGTTAATAGACCCACCCGTATCAAACAAGGGTACTCACTACTTGATTTGTTCCTTTTTTCAAGACTCAGTATTCTCGAACATAACTTATTCAATGCTTTCACGGACACAGTTGTCCAAATATCACTCAAAAATTCAGACTGAAATGATGGTATGCCCAAATATCCAAGCTCAAAGTGAAAAGTAATCCATTAGCTCCCTTTTAGTTCTGGCAATTCATTAAAGATGCACAGGTTACCACTATATGTACTTAAGCAGATTTCCCCCCTGAATCCCAGATGCTTGCTGTTCATTATTACCTCCTTTTTAATGGCTCTGAAGGACCTTGGAATTATATGAAGACATTCTACAAGGAGGAATCATCTTTCAGGTACCCGAGGCAATGTTACATTTTTTTAGCATGATCCTAAAATATAGATGTACTCTTACTGCTGTTTAGGCCTTTAACCTTTATGTAGATTGTACCTCCAATAGTTGGTTACAGTATCGTTGAAATTATTTTGGTACTAATAACATCAAGTATGTGTTCTGTGATGGTTAATAACTTAATATGAAAACTTGCTGAGACGATATCATTGAGTTGCCAGCTAGTTGATGGAGCTAGCTGAATTGACCGTTGCACTTTTGCACAATTCATCATTTCCTGTTAATCTGGCCCATTTGTTTCTTACTTTATCCTATAGGCAGTGTTGCTTTCCAAATTTATCCTGTCAGGCATTGTTGCTTCTGTTGTGCCTCTATATTACTGTGTGTCGAAGAACCCAAGCTGTTTCTGAGCACATGCATGATATGTGGTGTTATCTCCTGTTTGTGCAGTTTTTCAGGGAATGTGTATGTCGGACAAAGTGCCATATTTGATACTTTATCAAATATAAGAAAGAAGTTGAAAGGTGACCGGCCTAGAGAAAAAATTGTTCATGTTGTTGAGAAGCTACATTGCCGCGCGAATGGGGAAACAGAAATTGCTATCCGTGTGTCTGGATCATTCATCACGGGCAACCAATTCCTGATATTTGGTGAAGGGTTGCAAGCTGAAGGGATGCCCAGCTTGGAGGAAATTGATATTGACATTCCAAGCAAGCGGGTTGGCCAGTTCCGGGAGCAGTTTACCGTGCATCCAGGGACTTCCATGGGATGCTACTACATAGCAAAGCAAGATCTCTACATCGTCCAGTCATGAAAACAATGTATAAAGTGTAAGGTAAGTCTTGTAAATCTCATGTGTGCTGTTTGATGAATTGCTCTTAATGCTGTCGATCATTTATTTGCTTATGAGATTGCTTGGTTTGCAGTGATGTTCCGGTTTGTGCCGTCAATGATTCCAGTTCATGATGAAAGCTATGTCATGGTTTCCACTTCTCGCGGCCCCATAACTTCGACAGGCTTCAGATCACAATGCAGTCCTGCTACCATTGACATTGATTCCATTTCTTCTCGACGCGAGCAAACAAACTTGTAGCTGAAACATAACTTAATTATTGTTTGTAAGGTGGTAAGGAGAATGAAGCGATTCTAATGATTGTTGTGCATAGATCGATACTCTTGACACATGGCACGGTTTTAGTCGAGGCTGCTCAATTTCTGTTGTACTCCCTCTGTAAACTAATATAAGAGTGTTTAGATAACTAAAGTAGTGATCTAAACGCTCTTATATTAGTTTACAGAGGGAGTAGATGAGAAGATTGCGTGTGCGTGCTAATAAGTGACACAGCTCAATGTAGGGTTGTACTACTAATGCTTATGTGTAAAAGACTAACTCCGCTGGTACTGTATCAGTCGGTTTGACGTTTTTCTTTTTTCTTGAACTGTTACTAAGATGTCTGAGAAGTTCAAATTTTACGTACTTTATTTTGAGGGAATAAATTTGTCCGCAACATGTGGCAAACATTTTGTGCTTTCAATATTGTTCATTTATTTGAAAGTAAATAAATTCAAACAGTGAAGGTCACATATCCCAACTTTCTTGAAAGAAAATTTGGCTGAAAATGGAGTTCCTACAGAGATCTTCTGGTGATAATGGGCCCTATCATATGTGCACCAATTTGGCCGGGTTTCATCAGGCTGACATTATTGATATCTATATCTATTTTGCCCCGTCTGCCCACAACCCTATTCATGGGTCTACATTTGGATCCATTTCCGTTACCTGTTGGTTAAGCATTCCCATCGACCCATCGGGTTTGATGTACAATTGATTGCGGATTAATCTAAGAGCATAATAATATGAAAGAACAATTGGTGATGATGGTGCATATATGTAACTATATATAGTTGTTCAACAACAAGAAACATATAAGCAATTGTAGTTTGACACATAGACATTATTAGAGTACAAAGTTAAAGTAACAAAACAAAATGTGTTTAATTGTAGTATTAATTGAGAAACACATGGGTAACCACCGGGAATAAACTCAGACACCCATACCCCTAACCCTATGGACAAAAACGATGACACATGCCCTATCCATTAAGATACACCATAGGTGAAAGCGACACCCAGTGTCCTATCCGTTCGATTTGAATTCCCACCTTAAGAGCGGATGTAATAAAAGATAGATATATAAAAAAAATATCTTCATATTGTGCGTTCAATCAAGAAATGATCTATATAGTGCTAGTGCACATACGAGTGTTTATAAGAAAAAGAAAAAACATAGTTAGGTAGAAGTCATGACCGCCTTATCCTTTGAGAACACTGAAAATGTGATTTACAACATAAAAATTTAAAAAAAAAATACAAATTGACGGTATCGTCCGAATTTGATCTTATTTCATCTAGCATTTTTTAGAATATCTATATCAAATAAAAATTGAGTCAAATATCTGGCAAATAAATAAGAAAATAGCGTCAACCCTTGAGGCCCATTATCCGAGGGTTTGAGCCCAACCAACTCCAACTGTGTAGTAGAGTTCCGCCGCCGCCGCCGCCGCAATCCAACCCCGATTCGATTCGGTTCCGGCGGCCGCCCACCCTCTCCTTTCCTCTCCGGACCAGCGCAGGCGGCGATGCGCGGCGGGCGGTCGGGGGGCGGGGGGCTGCGGAACCCCTGCCTGACGATGCACCAGCCGTGGGCGTCGCTGCTGGTGCACGGCATCAAGCGCGTGGAGGGCCGCTCCTGGCCGTCGCCGGTGACGGGCCGCCTCTGGATCCACGCCGCCTCCAAGGTGCCCGACCCCGACACCGTCGCCGCCATGGAGGACTTTTACCGGGAGATCTACGCCGTCGACGGGGTCCACCACATCGACTTCCCCCAGCACTACCCCGTCTCCCGCCTCCTCGGTCCCTATCTCCTCCTCCTCCCCCTCTCACCTTCCTTGATTGATACCACTGCTGCTTTCCTCCTCAGCTTGCTGACGCCATTGCCGATTGATTATTGCTCAGGGTGCGTCGAGGTGGTCGGCTGCGTCAGGTCCGAGGAGCTCGTCTGCTGGGAGGACGTGCCCCAATCAGTAAGAGAATGCCATTCCCTCTCCTCTGCTCTGCTATAAATGGCCTGGATTTGTGCACCTTGTCGTGTCATTGCTGAATATGGTGCTTCTTGAATTGACTTGATTGCAGGTCAGGCTTGAAGGCTTGACCGACTTCTGCTGGCTTTGCGAGAATCCGCAGGTAAAACCCCCTAAAATCACCCATGTATAGTCAGTCGCAATGAGTATGCCGTCATTGGCTAGATTCACATCCCACCTTGTCAAAGCGCCTGAGACTCAGATGCCTGCTGTTTTTCTATTTATGACAATTTCCCACTACGCTTTAATTTCTCCAGAAGCTGGTGGTTCCGTTCGAGATGCGCGGTTATCAGGGTGTGTACAATTTGGAAAGAAGGGTTAGTCACTAATTGTTGCTAACATAAAGCAATGCTTTTTCATCCATCTCTTGTCACCGTTACGTTGTGAGCTTATTCTGTGCCGTCTTGTGTCGCATTGCAGGTATACGAGGGAGCAGCCAGGGGTCTTTCGCCTGTTCAAGGTCCACTGCCGGTCAAGTTCCCGCTTCCAGATCCCAGAAACCCCTTGTCTCTCAAGCCGGGATCTCTCAATTTCGACTCTTCAAAGTCTGCCCTGGTCAAGACTGAGAGTGTTTCTGCAGCGATAGCCGGGGCTAGAGCTGCCGCGACTCAGTATTCGAGGAAGGGTAGTACTGCTGCCACTAGCAGTGAGATTCAAACTCGAGGGAAATCGAGGGAGAATCATGCCGATGGCAGTTCAGGGAGTGGGGCTCTGCCGTCTGTTGTCCAGAACAGTCAATCGCATCCGCAAAACCAGGATCCATCGCCTGTTGTCCACAACAGTCCATCGCATTTGGTAATCCAGAATCCATCGCCTGTTGTCCAGAACAGTCCATCATACTCGCAAACTCGGAATCCTCAGTATATTGCTCAGAGCAGTCCATCCTACTCGCAAACTCGGAATTCTCAGTATATGGTTCAGAGCAGTCCATCCTATTCGCCAACTCAGAATCCTCGGTATATGGCTCAGAGCAGTCCATCCTATTCGCGGAACCAGAGTCAATCGTCCAATATCCAGAGCACTCCATTCTATTTCCATGACCAGAATCAATCGTCCAATGTCCACAGCAATCCATCCCATTTCCATTATCAGAATCAATCTTCCACTGTCCACAACAGTCCATCCTATTCTCATAATCAGAACCCATCGCCCAATGTCCAGAACGGTCCATCGTACTCGCAAAACCATAACCCTTCTCCTGTTGCCCAGAACAGTCCATTGTTTTTGCAACACCAGAACGCCGAGCCTCGGAGAAGTCCCAGACTACAGGGTGGAGCTCCCCACAGGGTGAGTGCTCATTTTTCATTCTGAAGCTGAATTTCGTACCACCAAGATAACTATGAAGTATAAACCGGGGCAGTGAGTAAATTTAGCTGTCTATCCCCAGTAACTATATTGCTGTTAAATTTCACCAATGTTAATCATGGTTACTTATGAACCTAAACTAGAGATTTCTATAGTAAGTTATTGCTGTTAATTTACACCGACTTGGAGATGACTATAGACTATGAATGCCTAGTACATACATAGTTTGAATGCTGGAATTACTGGGGAAGACTCAATTAGAGATGTCTATGGTAAGTTATTGCTGTGTGTTATTTTGATGATGCAGTTCGCCTATGAAGCGTCAGATATGTAAAGAAGTACAACCTCCGTCCGGAATTAACTGTTGCTGAAATGGGTGTATCTACTCGTTTCAGCGACAGTTAATTTTGGACGGAGGGAGTACTTTTTGTGTGTGTGTTTGTGTGGAATTAGCAGCCACCTGCTAGTGTTTATTTGTCCAATTTTCTTGCTCGGTCAACGTGTACGGTGTGCTTTAGTCAGACGGACTTGTTTTCCAGTTGATGCCTAACTCTGTCTTTCTCATGAATCGTTCATTTTGCAAACTAAACTAATGGTTGTTTGGTTAGCTCGTCGCAGCAGCGCTGAGAGACTTGAAGCAGTCAAGCTTGCGCGAGAGCGGGGAGCAATCATCAGCTCCCAGAAGCTGGCCTGAATAATTTGGGAACCATCGTCATCTGCCTGCTTCTGTGCGACGATACCAGCTCCTTAATTGTGTAGAGTACAATGTAGCATTTGCTCATACGTTTCTGACTGATGATAGCATAGCATGATAGTGTGGCTGTGATAGTGCTGGCACGATGTATCGGGCGCAGCGCCATGCCGTACCCTGCGAGGTTTCCCTGCCGTTGCAGGGTATGCGTGTATCTTGTCATCATGTAACATACAAACTTAGGTTTGGTTTGAAATACTCCAGTGCTTAGACTAGTTGGTGGTTGGATGTGTATCTCATACATTGACAGTTATGGGACGATCTACCATTGTGACGTTTGGGCCCAAAGTGCATGGGAATGTGAAGCAGTAATATTGTGCTGCACATTATATATGGGTGTGTTTGTTTCATGCCATAGCATGCCCTAGGTATTTTATTTTGCCAACCATTGGCTATCCAAAAAATTGGCTAGAGATTCCAAGATTTTGCAACCAAGTGAAAGTTAAAGTATCATAGGATGCAAAAAATAATAATTAGGTAGGGCAAATTTGGGCACCAACCAAATATACCTTAAGTCCTCGTGTGTGCGGGATATAATGGGCCAGTTATTTTCAGCTTACCAGTTTTTGTATTCAGATTCTGAGAAACTGTCCACATAATCAGCTGTACATAATCAGCTGTGTGCCACCGAGTTCTTTTGTGTTGAACATGGCCGACGTCTAAACTCCCCTACTCTGCCTTCCGGACTTCCGAATGCATCAGACCCAAAGTAGGGGTCCGTTTGGACGCATAAGAGTGTCCGGACACAAAGTAGGGCTCACTGAAGCACTCTAAAGTACTCCTCTGTTTTTATTTACTTCATATACTAGCTTTGGCTGAAGTCAGACTTTATAAAGTTTGACCAAGTTTGTACGAAAAAATATGAAAATTTACAGTAACAAATTTATATGATGTGAAAATATATGCAATGATGAATCCAATGATATTGATTTGGTGGTGTATATGTTAATATATGTTTCCGTAAACTTGTTGAAAGTATATAACATTACCTTTAGACAAGCCTAATATGCGGAGTAAATAGAAACGGGGGGAGTAGGTTATTAAACTAGTATGTCAAATTTGAAAATGGAAGATAATCCTTACCAGGTCTAGGTAGGTAGAAGATAATACTTTCTTTCCTTCTTGGAATCTTCTTTTTGCTGTGGTTGACGGCTAACTGACATAAAACAGCCTGTAACTCCTGTGAATTTGATACCCTAGGTACGTACGAAGACTATCTATGCTTTATGAATCGACAAGGAATTCAGAAATCAACGCATGCTTGAAAGTAAAGTCGTAAGCAACTTCAAAACATCTCCTTCCAGATAATATTTGGCATGTAATATAGTGGCGTCATGATTAGCGTCCACTGCAATTTACTTTAATTTGCACTTTGATCAAACATATTTTGTAGTAGTTGCAATTCGCACATGTTGGATATCTGGGCACGCCAAGTCGCTAGTCGATAGTATTAGTTTTTTTAGACAATCTCGCTAAGCTTTTTATTCAAATTGTCACAATGTTTACAGGGACGAAAGAAATGCTATCAGTCTGGCCTAACCAAACATGGCGGCCAGGCCCTAATTTTAATGCATGCTTCGCTAGATTGTGAGCATCCACATTGGAGCTCCTAGACTCATGAACTATATTACAAGAGGAAAAAGAAGTAGCTGTCATCTTGATCTCTTTAACAATAGCTCCATAGTTCGATCTGCTTCCCGTTTGGACTTCTGTAACCACACCTTTGCAATCTGATGCTAAATGTATGTGATGAAGATTCATATCTTGGGCTAATGCTAACCCTTCCCTGATCGCCAATGCCTCCAGAGTGGCTGCGTCACTGTAACACCCCGTATGTAACTTTCCCTATTTGTACTCCAACTCTTGCCGTTTCCGGCATTAAGTTATATTTATTTCCTCGGGTTCGGGTCTTTATCTCCGTGTGTTGTTGTCGTTGTCATGCATCTCATATCATGTCATCATGTGCATTGCATTTGCATACGTGTTCATCTCAGGCATTCGAGCATTTTTCCCGTTGTCCGTTTTGCATTCCGGTGCTTCGTTCTCCTCCGGTGGTCATTTCTAACTTCTTTCGTGTGTGGGGATTAAACATTTCCGGATTGGACCGAGACTTGCCAAGCGGCCTTGGTTTACTACCGGTAGACCGCCTGTCAAGTTTCATACCATTTGGACTTCGTTTGATACTCCAACGGTTAACCGAGGGACCGAAAAGGCCTCGTGTGTGTTGCAGCCCAACACCCCTCCAATTTGGCCCAAAACCCACCAAACTCTGCTCCATCATCTAGAGCGTTCGATTACGATTGCGTGGCCGAAAACCGCACCTCATTTGAACTCTCCTAGCTCCCTCTATGGCTATAAATAGACCCCCCTCGAAATATCCCGGATCCCCTCCTCTTCAAACCCTAAATTTCGCCCGCGCACCGGCCGGACACGTCCGAATCCGGCTGGATGCGTCCGCTTCCCCGCCGCCGCGAATCGCTCGCCGCCACGTGGCACGACAGCCGCGCCGCCGCCGAGGCCCGTTCGGCCTAGGACG